CTGACTGACCGACCGCTCGCCCCCGTGTCCCCACAGATCCTGGGCAAGGCGTACGCCGTCCTAAGCGACGCGGAGCAGCGAGCCCTGTACGACGAACAGGGCACGGTGGACGAGGAGGGCGAGGCGCTGAGGGGCGAGCGGGACTGGCGGGGGGGAAAAGAAGGTGAGATCGGGCCGGGGATCCGGCGGTGGGATCCCGCAGGGCTCACCTCAGCGGGAACGCAAACCCTCCGGGAAGGGAACACCCGCTACTTCACAGTTGTAGCCCTGCCACCCGTAGGAGCTTTGTGTAAAACACTGGGGTTTTCAATGCTGTCTCGTAAATCCTTCTGGTGAGAAAATCCTGTAACTCAACATATGTCACCTCTTTCCTTCAGATCACCGTAAAAGATATTGAAGACTTCGAAAAGAGCTATAAGGATTCGGAAGAAGAGCTGGCTGATATTAAAGCAGCATACGTGGATTTTGAGGGGGACATGGACAGAATAATGGAGTCTGTGTTGTGCGTGGACTATACAGATGAACCGAGAATACGGAAAATCATAGAAAAAGCCATCACCTCCGGAGAAGTCCCATCCTACAAAGGTTTTGTTAAAGAGTCTAAGCAGAAAATGATCGCAAGAAAAAGGCGGGTAGGTTATATTAATCAGGGACCAAAAGGAAGCATTATTTATGATAAGCTTTTAATCCCCCTTGGTGGAAATAAATGAAGCTGTTCTCGAGACAAGTGTTTGCTGGGTTACAGATCTTGTGCAGTGTCTTAGACTTTTGCGTTTGGTCACCTGGGTTCTCCACCCCCACCCCCCCAAACTGTTTTGAAAGTCTTTTGAGTTGTAATAGGTTGTTGCCTATTATTTTTTTCTTTTATTTCATTATTATAGACTATGGCTTATTACAGTTTAGCATGTCCCTGCATTTATTTACAAAGCTATGAGTTGCTGGATTTAAGAAGCGTACGTGGTGAAAATATATTATCCTTGCCTCTGGGCAAGTGTGAAATAAATTCTGGAGTAAATGGACCTCTTCTCCAACCTGGGTTTTTTTGGATGCTTTGTAGAATACGGTGTATGCCCATCACAGTAACCTTTTCCAAGTTAAAGAAAATGTAATAGCTGCTGAGGAAAAAAAAAAACAACAGGGGGAAACAGGCATGGGGATAGACATGACATTCAGCATTGTGAAACAGCAAAAAAACTGTCCAGCTCTACTAAACTGTGGAACCAGGATGGGCCTTCTTTGATTGATTTCTCATCTGTTGCCAAACTTGGAAACAGTTCATGTTTCCTTGCAGCTCAAAAAAGGTGTTCGGTAACTACTGTGAGACTTTGTCAAATAATGTCCAAAATACTTTTAAAAAAACTAGTTTGCTATTTTAGGCAGAAAAAGAAGCTAGAGAGGCTGAAACAACTAAAGACGAACTGGGCCTTGGTGGAGAAGATGACTTGAAAGCACTGATTCAAGTAAGCCTTTTTGTATCAGTTGAAGATAATTATCTTACTGGGTTATAATTGAATTTTCCCTGAGCATCTTTGTGTTTTGGATCCTTGCAACTCTTCTGAGTTCCTGAGGTTAAAACCTGACCTTAATGTTAACTATGTACTTTAATTGTTGGGAGTATGGTATGGATTTTATTACCTGCCTCTTTTTTTAAAAATTAACAATCTTATTCCAATATCTTTATTGCATACACAATCAAAATACTAATAGTTTTAGGCAGTTAATGATTGCTAATGATTTAGCAATGTGTGTGTGTTAATGAGTGCTAATGATTCTTTCTTTCTGAGGGATCCCATGAGGATGTAGAAGTTTGAGGAAGGAAACATACTGCTTCTGTTCTGTTCTTCATAACATTTTCTCCTCCTTCTTTGTTATCATCCAGTGGGCTTTCTTAGAATGTTTATGCTTAATCGTTTCTCAAATTGTAATAGACTTTTGGGTTTAAACTAGAAATTGTTTTGCTTTTCCTAGCCTTATGTCACGAATTTTTGTAGCCCCTCTACCTCTGTCTTGATACTTCAGAAAGTTAGATACAGACCCTAGAGTACACACGTAGGCTTCTACTTGATGGTACTATAGATTCTGTAGCTTGTATTCCCTGTTTAATATATTCCAAGATTTTATATAGCTGTCTAACTTCAATAGAATAATTGGTATTGGGAAGTAGTAAAAATTTTATGTGTGTTTTATTTTATTCTGTTTTATTTTTCTCTCCCCCAGAGCAGAAATAAAGATCGAAAAAAGGAAATGGATGACTTTTTGGCCCAACTGGAAGCAAAATATGTGAATAATGCTAAAAAAGGAGGAAAGAAGACTGCAGCCAAGAAAGGAAAGAAATAAAGAACTGTGTAGGCTGAAATATCAGGTATCATCTTGTATGGGAACATGTGGATTTGGGAGAATTTCAGAGTTTTTCTGGGCTACTGTTTCAGAGCGTGTGTGCATCAACTTGCTGTGACGGGCAGGTATGATACAGAACACATCATGTACAAGAAAGACAAAGCATTCTGGTGCTACCGTTTAAAATCATTTGGGTGCTCTTCAGTTAAGATCAAACAGGTCATTGACTAAAAGTTTTGTTACAGTAAGGAAGCGGTGTGATGTTTGGGATGGCGGCGTGTTTATTAAACTTGCCTTGAAGCACCTTCCTGCCAAACAGCTAATGGATATTGGTACAGCTGATGGTAAAACAATGTAATCCCACACCTTTGAGAATCTTCAATGCCGATTCCTGTGGTTTCCGAGTTGGAAACCTTATCTTTTTGCTATTCACACATTTCTTTTGTAACAAACCTTCTGCTGTTTTTAAAGGTCTTTGCACATCAGCTCAACAGGTGTTTTTCAGGCATTCCAGTGGTTTTATAAAGATACTTTGGAAAATCGCAGATTTAATAAAGGAAATGTTTTTGCAGAATTCTGTGCTATGTTGCTTCCCCAGCCCTCTCCACATTTTCGAAGTAGCTGTTCAAAACAAACTGATAACGTTGAGTCCTCCAAGTGATTCAAGTCAAGCAAGTACTACGTACTTCTACAGCAGGTGAAAACATGGCTATGTTGTTAACTCTGGCATCAGTGCTGGTGAGGCTACATTAGATGAGAGTCACCTGGTGGTTGGTCTTTGATTGCCTGTGGCAGATGCCTTAGAAAAAATATGAGGCTGCAGCATGTGTGTGACGATGCATAAATTCTCTAACACGCTGAGGTGAGATAACAAACTTAAAAATCCACAGAACAGAGTCGGTTCTGTGTATTTCTAGGGTTTGTGATGTCCCATGACAAGGAGAGCCAAAGCTTAGAAATGTATTGCATGTTATTTCAACAGCATCACATAAAGTCTGCTGTAGGATGGTAGGGATTAGCTACTTTTATTTGTCAAGGCTTCTGTTATTTCAGAAGTGAATCATTTCTGCAAGGTGTGCAAATACTTCGAAGGTTTTTGCTTCAGCTGTTTTTAAACCACTTGATGTAGTGTGCAGGGGTATGCATTTGAAGGGTAACTAGTTTTCAACTTACTATAGCTCAAATGAATGAGGCTGGCTTTATTTTGTGGATCATTTTTCAAAAGCTTATGAGTCATAAGATGAACGCTTCACTTTGAGTTGAAGGTCCTCATTGCTTCAGTGATAGCATTCAGGAACTGACTATTTAATAGAGCTTCCTGGGGGGAAGCTAGAGGTAGAATGGTAACTCTGTTCCCTTTTACTTGGCCGCTTTCAAAAATTATCCTGATTCTGAGAGAGAACAGCGTATCATCAAGTTGCTTAATGCATGACTCGAATGTTACTTTTACTATACAAAATAGGTATCGTAATAGCTCAGGAGAAGTCTCTGGTGTCCAACCATTTGTACAGAAAACTAAAATTAACTTATGATGAGACTGCTTTCACTTTTTTAACACATTGACTAGGCTACAAAGTTCTACAATATGTTACTCAAAGTCTATTCAAGTTTATTTGTATATCTTTATAACTCATATGCATGAGGGCTACAGAACACTAACTTGGTCCCTGAGGAATGGCACTGACATAAATGGGATGCTTATCTCCAGTTAGCTTGAGATAACAGCTGAGACTACTGCAACATTGTACAGTGTGTCTTTAGTTAAGAGAAACTGTATTTCGAAACAGTTTAGTGAACAGAGGCCTCTCTTTAGCATCAACTTACCTCCATGCAAACTTAAGAGATTTAGATTGAGATCAAAGGTTTGGGTTTTTCCCCTCCTCTAGAAATGCAAAGGAAAGTTAACCTATTTACATTTGCGCAGTTCTGCTTTGCTTTCTTTTCCCTTCTTTTTGATTATAGCATGCTTAGAATAACTGGGGTCAAGAACTTCAATATTGATTAAAAATGATTAGCTGTTCTATAGGTACCACTAACATTTATTTCATAGATTGCACAACTTGGAGTGGGGAAGTAGGAGCCACTTCATAAAGAATGCTGACAAGGTTTTTCCATTATAAATTGTAATTTGGAAAATATTAATACGGAAATTTAGAAAAAAGTGCTCTTTAATTGGATTATAAAGGAACAACTGTTTTTGTGCAGTGTCCTAACTCTGTTAAAATACAGTGAGTGGTTATCCCCACCTTATCTTTACGTTTACCTGTAGTCTTGACACTTCCTGCTTGGGAGTAAGACCTTCAGCTAATCGCTTATTTTGAGAAGCTTCTATTTCATGGTTTTGTTGTATTTGGAGACACAAGGGCAACCACAACTACTACCTCTGGCAGGTCTATCACACAGTGCAGAACACATCTACTGAAAGCTACGTTGCATCTATGGGTTGTGGAACTTCATGGCGGAGTGCAGAAATCTTGTAAAATTGCAGGTATTTTTAGAAAGGGAGGCTGCCCTAGTCTGTGAAATCACCATTAAATATCTCGCCAGGAAGACAATGTACGTTCTTTGAATACTGTCTGGAACTACTTGCAGTAATTTTTTTTGCCTTTTAAACCTTCTTCAGTCACTGAGGAAGAAGTATAAGTATAACACAGGAAGAGTCAGTGGTATGGTACCCTTAAAGCTGTCAGTTCTGGTCATCTGGTTTGCTACCTTATTTTTACACAACTGTGTTACTATCTGCTGCAGTTACTACAGGATTCATAACTTGTCTAAGTTGAGTTGTAGAAGCAGTATCATGTGCAGTGCTTGCTTTTGATAGTATGATATTGCTTTAAATACATAAATATAGCTTTAAAAATTTAAATTGCTACTGCTAAGGAGAACCTGATTAATCTTCTGTAGAGCTAACAGAAAAATCAGCAGGTTCTCCAGTACCTGCCTGTAACAACATGAACTAGTCACAAGCCAGTAATGGGAAAACAGCAATGACTGAGTGCATTTGCTAGATTTTCTAGGAGTTAGGCTTTACTGCCCATTGGAGTATAACTTTTTTCTACTGGTAGAAATTGGAATGTTTAAGTGTACCCCTTCTAATCTTTGGCAGCTGCTTCTTAGATTTATATAGAAATAATTATTAATAAGGAAAGGTGTTTGAAAACTCTGTAAACAATGTTGACATCGCTGAGAACGAGAGGTGGTTCATGACTCTCTGGTGATGGATGGATACTTCTTCATGGCACGTTAGAAACCCTGTTTGCTTTTTGTGACTGATCCCTTTCGACTGTGGGCTTTCGCAGAACCGTACAGCTGAAGACCTAATAAACAGAGATTATGTACAACTTTAAGACTTCTGGAAGGTATTAAAACTAAGTACTGAATACATCTCCTTTAGCTTAAAACAAACAAAAATAATTTTTTTTTTTGCTTTTTAATCTAATATGTGGCTATCAACTGCATTATGCATAACTTTTGCAAGTTTGAGACAAGTGACTGGCCTTCTGAAAGGGGCAAAGGCTGTGCTTTCATAGTTGCTGCACTGCAGGGAACTACTGTGTATTCCTTGATATTTCATAAAATATTCAAGTCTACAAAGTTGTTCTGCTGATTCATAAAACTCATCTTGCATTTTAAAGATGGTGTGGCATTGAGGGGGGACGGCAGATATTTATTTTAATTTTAGTAGGAACTACTCCTGTTTAAAAACAAGTTACTTCGGTTTAGTGCCCTTGGTAAACTCAAGTCGCCTCTTGTACCACTTACATTAGTTGGTAGTAGGCCATTCAGCTATTAAACAAGCTAAAATACCCCTCGTGTCCTCTAACAATCATCCACGTGGTTCCTACCTTAACCTTTGCAGCTTCAGTCCTATCTTGTTAGTAGATTTTTGTGTGGAAAATTCTGACATCCCATACGGAATGCCAAAACACTGCGATGAAAGGAATCCAGTGGAATCCAGAATTTCCAGAAAGTCCTGCTTCAGGAATCCCCTGCTCTGTGCCACCCTTTCCAGGTGGATGTGGTATGTGATTTAGTACTGAAGCTAACAGGGAGGGCTCAAGGTGAATTCAGCCGAGAGCTATAAAGATGGTATTCAGAAAAAGCCGTTCCAGGACACAAAAGTTAGCTTTCTGCTCTACCATAATCTCTCATAAAACACAAATTCCCTTTCAACTGACTAGTCTAGCTGTTGTGTGTGCCAAGAGGTCAAACCCTAAATCTCTGAAGGTAGAACTAAAATAATTCTATTGGTCTACCGTAACACTCTAAAATAGTCTTCATATATGCTTCAGAATACCTATACAGTTTGTGTATTAGCCATAAGCAATTTAAGGAGATGACTTTGCACTCAAGGAAGGGAAACTGGAGGGAAGAGTATGCATTACATTCACAACAAAAATGCCTTCCTGTTGCCTTCATACTTTGATAAGTAATTTTAGATGAGACTCATTTTAGGTTATGCTAAGTAAATGCACAAAGTTCATCCAATTGTTTCAAATTAAACAGTACAAGCATATTTTGGTTTCAGAGTATGCATGTGAATTGTACTGGTACAGTTACTGGCTTTAAAATATAGTTTTGAGTTGATCCTAGTGCAGATCTAGTACAGTCTCTTCCAGATACAGAGCAAATAAGTTTCTTTTGGACATAATGCAATTTCTTTCAGTTTTGTAGCTGAGCAGAAGAAAAATCCTTGGAGAGAAAGTAGTTGTTGCTAGTTCCTATTTAAATTGGCAACTCCTGCTCTTAACTTTGACAAGAGAGGCATTGGGGCATTAAGCTTCCTTAAATGATTTAAAATACTAAGTGGTAACAGAAAAAACACACCTAAACATACTCTATATGCAAGTATAAAACTTATATAATGGAAACTTTAAAACATGAAATAGAACTTTGAAAAACCTCCTCAAAGTAATTCCCTATGTAGGAAATGCATCCCTGTCCCAAAAGCGTACCTCTTTCTTCATCGTACTAAATTCTGTGACTGATGAGCATACCTGAACCTGATGATCCTCTGTTTGTCCAGGACTGATTACAATAATCAATAACAGTGCAAGAACGGCGGTGCTGTGGATCTGGCTGAAAAGACAGTTCAAGTTATTTATATTTGCATGAAAAAAATTTTAGACATCAAGTTTATAATACAGCTACAAACTACTTAAACATATGTGTTTCCTAATTCATAAGATGTTGTAAAGGTGCAAGTAGAGCTTTTACAAGTTTAAGGAGGGTTAAAGCAACTGTAGAAAATACACTTTTATAACACTCTTGCTTAGAATGATCACTGGGCCAGTTAAAG